TAGCCAGCCTCTTGAAAGTCTCCTTATGAGTACAAACACCACAGGTTCTCCAGTACAATTATTGAGGTTCTGTTATTTACCCCTCATCCCACAGCCAGCATACTGGTCTACCTTTGTGGTTAACCAGTTGTTGTATTTCACTATGCGGCAAAAGGAAATGATGTGAAGAATCTACCCACATTTCTTTCAGCCATCAGTCAAAACGTAATGTTTTGAAAGTACATCAAGCACTTGACCAGTCACAGAAATCCTTCACACAGTAGCTTTTAAGTTTGTCCTAGCAGAAGCCAATAGAAGCAGTGGTGACCATCAACTATCTCAGTAACAGTTTTCTTTAATTCTGTAAAATTGAGACCAAACACTACAAGGACTTCAAGCCTTGCAATCTAACAATCCACTCAGAAAAGACAAGGAAAATGTAAAAATAGAAAACACTCCAAAATTAAACAGACAAAAAAAAAAAAAAGACAGACACGAGACACCCTTAGCTGAGAGATGAATAGCTAAAGAAAAGGTGGCTTAGGAAGAGAAGCCAGCACTTTACTAGACTTCACCAAGTTTGACATCTCCAGTGTGAGTTTCATTTGTTTATACAAGTTCTCACATCAATTAAAGCTGGTGCCTCAAAAGCCTTAGCATTAGAAGACATGGATCACTTAAAAAATATCAGACAGGCTTCCATACAGAATGTTTAGATGACCCTCAAAGTTTTCCATAAGGTGTCTCACATACATTCTGAAGAAAAATCTCTTTAACAAGACTCAGACTTCATTCTGAAGTCCCACTAATTTACATTTGGTTTTGACTAGTCCAAGCAAAATGAGCCAAACAAACATATTTTATCAATGATGCAAGACTGCATCTTAATTAAAACCTCATATCCAGACACATTAATGTGCAACCTTGCAGATAAGTTCCCACATGGATCCTGACTATATTTAAGTTTTATCACAGCTTTTCAGGATTTGTCAAAAAATATGTATTGTGTGAATTAAAAGCAATAATTAGTAATCCTCCTCCTTTCAAATTTTTGTTTCCTCCCATTCAAGATGGTTGCCTGGAAAGATTAAAACTAAATCATTATATTGAAAAAGTTCATCCTAATTAAGTAATTTCTTTTCATTATTGTAAAAGGAGAAAACAAAGCTATTTCACAAGTCAGAACAAAAAAGGGACTTGTGCTTTGGAAGCCTTACCCAGTAGATATACACTCAAAGGATTAAAAAAGAAAAAAAAAAAGTTGGGGCAATTGCAAATTATGCCACATCTTTAAGTAGAAACAGGCTATCCAAAGCTTCAAGTAGAACAAAGTGATTTTGTGGCTCTGCTTCTCTACATAGATGCAGAATTGGAGATCCTTCAGAAGCAAGCTTGCCTTTGAAATAGGAGTAACTCCACTTTCACATATTTCAAGATGCAGACTGCACACTTATCCAGAACAGAGAGCAGAAACCACAAGGATTAGCTGAGAAATGAACAGTTATTCTATCACTACACATGCATTTCATTTCCAAATCTTAATCCACAGGTATTTGGGAACATTAGTTAAAATCCACTTACAAAAATAGCTTCTACAAAAGAATAAACAATGATTACAGCAGTTCTTATGCTCCAACTATAAAATAATTTATATTAGATGGCCACCAACGTTATTTGCAATGCCAAACTAGGTAACCCTATTTTTCTATTAAAAATCAGCATAGCCTACCTCCTGCAATATTAATATTCACTTCTGTTTTAAGAGGATAATAAAAGCAAGCGTTTCCCAGTTGGGAAATACCTTTACAAGGAACAAAAAGCCACAAAAAGCCACTATCAACAGTGTTTTGTAAGAATATAGCAAGGGTCAACCATCAGTGTGCAGAAGCGTTTGCTTCACAAGTGCCAAACTTTTAATAACAACAAAAAAAAATAAAAATCCCATTTATTACAAGAGAATATTACAAACTACTGTTTTCAGTGATCAAAGAGTAAAACTTTACAAAAATGCAAACATTTTAATTCCTGACTGTAAAGCGATAGATATTTCAGGTTGATGAACCAGACAGCTCTTTGTTTATGCACACTTAGAAGTGATTTCCATTCTGTTTTATTTTCCATCAAATACAGTACATTTATCCAAACAAAAGCATGTACATTCAATATAGAACATTTTGAGCAACAGCTACAGTCCAGTTCCCATTCACAGTATTTTTAGTGCAATGCACTAACAGGGCCAAAGATTTCTCTATCCATAAAAGCATTTTTACTCCTGATCTTGTGATCAACATTTTTAGATATATTTTATACAAAAAGTATACATGAACACCTTACTTAGGCACCTCCCTAAGTAAGGGAGTGAACCTATATAAAAAAACATGGTATTTCTTCTGATGTACAATACCTTTCAAATCGTAGCAATTTGACACAAATCACTAAATATTTTCTAAAAAGTAAAACAAAATGAAAAACCAAACCACTGACGCATTAAACCTGCCAAGAATCTCATAATGGCAGGCATGTGACTGTTTCGCTACAATCTTGATTAAAAGGTTAAAACAAAGGTATCTAAAACTTTTTCCAAATTAGACAAAGTCAAATGCTACCTATAGTGGTCATTCACCATCTTGAGAGAAAAAATATTTTGAGTTTCTCCCATACTATCCTCCCTTTCTATTAACATTTAATGAAATCTGCTAACATTATAAGTGGTTGTGCACAGATTGTCTGTCTATAATACATCAGCAAATATTCACTACCTTCATATTAACATTAGTGTGTTGATCTTTCAAAAAATAAACTGGAAAAATAAACTGTAACTATCATTAAAGTGCTTGTGTATAAACTTTTTTTTTAAAAAAAATAAAGAATAGAGGAATGTGGATACTCTTGTAAACTTCCCAGATGTTCACAAAGTTTTCCTATGAATGACATATGGAAATAAGATGGAGATCATTGAAGCAACTTCAGTACAGTGAAATTCAGAATGTCCCAGAACTGAGAAATTAGTTGATATGAACAAACTGATGTTATGGCAAATACTAAAAATTAGTACAATTCAGCCAATATACACTACATTGTTTGCTCTTATACATTCATTTGTAATAAATTTAAAACAGTATATAACACAACATTTGCCAAAGTAGGATATCACAAAAGTCAGAGCTGTTCATCAATTAGCACTAGCAGGGAGGACCAGCATGCACAATGAGCTCTCTGAAGAACATTTCCTGTATGAGGAACAAAAATCTTCTTCCAAAGCTGCTGTTCATTAACTTGTCTCTGTATTTTTTCTGATTTAGGAATTTTGTTCTATACTGCATCAAAGTTCATCTGCATAGAGGTAACTGCTAATTTAGAAGCACATGTGTATTTCAACCACTTCAGTGTTTTAGGAGGAGGCACTGTCCTAACAAGCAGTCCAAAAGGTTATCAATTTAGTAATAAAACAGCTTATGAACATTATTTCCTCCTTACAGTTCCATTTTCAAGATAATAGCTGTCCTGACAACAGACTAAAGTCCTCTCCATTCAACTGAGCTCCAAACTTTCCAAGCATCACTTGAACCCATCTGAGGAGAAATGGGAATAAAATAATACTTTGAGTTTACCCATATAATTCTTTTTTTTTTTTTTTTAAATTACACAAAATAAATACTTTAAAAGGCTAAATTTTTAATTCTTGATCAAAATGCAGAAATCTCTCCTCCTCTTAAATTCAGCATAACTCGGGGTCCAGCACAATTCATTTTTGAAGTTCCACCCTATTTAGCCAGGATTTGTTACAAAGTCACAAAAGCACTAGATTACAACTTAACGTAGCTGGAAGGTAATTCACTATCAAAGCTGAACTCATGGCAAATCACCTCCTGGGAAACAGCATTTCAGAGCTGAAATACAGAACAAGGCACATATATCTGGTTTTCTTTTCACCAAATACGCTAGAAAGATAATTCTGAATAAGGGTGTTTAAAATTCTTACAGGTATCACTACTGACTCTCTTAATCACATTTTTTTTTGTACAATCCCCCAACCTTCAGGCATCAGTCAGTCATTCTGAAATACCAACTGACTGCATACATGATTTCTTTTTAGAAGGTCCTTTTAAAATTAGGCCAGCTGTAACATGAAGGCTATATAAAATTGAGAAACTACCAATACAACCCCCCCCAAGTGTAAAAAAATACCCATATAAGCAGATAAAAAACCACATAAGCAGAAGTTCAGAAAATTCTTGGACACACTTCTACACATATTTAGGCTTAAAACAAAAAATTCTTGATGAGACTTGAATGCTTTATAAAATAAATGACTGGAAGTTTCCAAACTTGGGCTTATATAAATAAGTATTACAGGAATCAAATTCTAAATGTGACGACTTTAAAGGTGCTTGTAAGCACCTAACTCATACTGATTTTAAATCAAAGCAATTAATCACCCAAATTAAATTAAAAAAAAACCCAAATGTTCTATGTCCTCTTGTTAAGAAGGCATAGGCAATACACATTAAAGTTGAAAATAAACAACCACTTACAAATGATAACCCCAATAAGGTCATAGAGACTTTTTTCTGTCAACAGCTTTTACTGTAGTACTTTAGTACTTCTTCAACTGGGTCACAGAGAAGTTAATTAACAGGTTAAGTTATTCAAACCAAACAAAAGTACTGCTAATTTTTAAAAAAATTACTATTTCAGAAATGTATGTATGTTAGCTTGATTACAATAGATGCCTTAAGACAATCCAAAGACTTGACTCAGTATAATCTATATTCTACTCCAACTTCATACAATGACAAATTTAGAAATGAATGCTTTTCCAAAACTCTAAAAACAAAATTTAATAAACAATTTTGACATCTATCTTAGTATTTAAGCCTCTAAACCGTAAAATCTAAGGAAAAAAAAAATCTGTTTCCAGCAATACAAACAACAGCAAAGAAAAGGCAGTGTTTTTGTTGGTGTGGTTTTAAAAAAAAATAAAAAAAAAGGAAAAAAGACAAAACACTTATTCTTCTTCCTCACCAGACAACAGCTTTAGATCTTGTACTTCTGCCTTTGGTTTTATTTTCTTCAGGTGAATGAGATACATTTGCTTTGTGGGTTTTCTTATGGTGTTCTAGAAAAGCTTTTCTGGCAAAGGCTTTCCCACATTTATTGCATCGGTGCAGAGAAAAGTTTTTTGTTACTTTTACTTCAATGCCAACATCAGCTCCCTCATACTTTTTATTGGGAGAATTAGAGGTGACATCCTGTTTGGAACCGATCTGTTTTGTTTCATCCCTCTGAGGGCCTCTTTTTGTCACCTTGTTTAGAACAAGATCAATTGGCTTTTTTATGGCTCTAATTTCTAGACTTGCAGTTATTTTTCCAAGGTAGCGTGGTGACTTTTTATGAACTACAGTTATGTGCCTTATCACATCACGTTTGCGACGCGTTTCGTAAGAGCACAGGGGACACCTGTAGTATTTAACATAAATGTTATTCCCATCCGTGTGCAGCTCAATGTGTTTTGTCAAGTTCTGTTTAGAAGTAAATTGGCGTTTACAGAGTTTACAGTAAAGCTGCTTGAAGTCAAAGCCAGCTGAAAGTTTTGGTTTCCTGGTTTTTTGCTGGCCACCTGCAGCAGATGCGTTGGTTGATTTAGAGGTTGATTTAGTGGTTGATTTAGAGGCTGATTTAGAAGTTGATTTAGGGTTTTCAGGGTCCTGTTTAACTTTATTTTTCTGTGCTGACGATGTGCTCTTTTTCTCATTTGAATGATTTGTTCCCTTTAATTCATTCTGTGGAGAAAGGGCAATGGAAGGGGGTGAAGGTTCTACAGAATCTGCTGGTTCAACTTTAACTTTTATTTCTGTGCCATTGGCAGTATTGTTGGGTCCTTTCTCTCTTTTAGAGTTCTTTCCAGAAAGAGTTATCTTGTGAACAATTTGCATGTGCCTTTTCAGCATTATTTGAGAACTATATTTTCTCTTGCACAGAAGACATTTGCATGCAGTTAAATTGTATTCAGCTTTCGCAGACGACTTTTGTTTTCGGGTCTTAAAAGATTTTTTAGCAGAAGCTGTATCCAAGAACAAAGGCTGCCCGGGCTTTGTAGCTATATCAGGAGTAATGGAATCCCTTCTTAATCCTCTATGAACTTCATCAAAATGCCTCCTTACGTTGGCTTTTGTGGCAAAGGATTTATAACACACGGGACAACTTCTACCCAACGTTACAAGAACGTTTTTATTTCGTCCTTTCGCAGAGCACTGGTTTGGTTTCCTTTTTGTCTCTATGAACTTCTTCAGCTCTTCCATCTTTTTTTTGTGCACTTTTCGAATGTGCCGGCGTACGCTGCGTCTGGAATGAAACTCTTTCCTACAAAGGCAACATATCAGCTGGTGGCCAAAATCAGAATTATCCAGGGAGTCCAACTCAGGATTTACTGCTGGAGGCTGTTCTTCAGGAGTAGGTATCACCTTGTTTGTAACGGGATCAGCAGGAGGTAATTCTACAGTCTCCCCAGCTGGGATTGGGGCTGGAGCTGAAACAGTCTTGGGTTGCTCAGTGCTGGGTTCCTGTATCTGTACTGGAGCTTGGTCAGGGGTATTACTGCTTTCTGTGTTCTCATCTGGGCTATCAGTCCTCGATACATACTGAAATACAGCATTCTGATTAGTTTCTATAGGTTCCAATCTGATTACATATTCTTGCTTATCTACCCTGGGATAGATTGCTTCCAGGAGGTCATGTATGGCTTGACTCTGTTTATCATTTATATCTGGGAGATCTGCAAAAAGAGGCAAAGGTGTTTTTTAATTATTTGGTAATGTCAAATTATTTAAACGTCAAAGTATCTTTTAACCTCTCTGTCAATTTGGTCACCAGATCTGCACAAATCCTGTATTTGTACTATTTTTCTGACTATTTATATTCAGAGGCTTTCAGCAATTGTTGTTATTATATCTGTACGAGTTACTTTTTTATCAAAAGCTTCTAGCGTGCTAATGTGAAAGCCACCTAAACTAAAAATTAGTTTGTCTGGAATTAAAAGTGATCTTTAAAAATCTGTATCACTTGCAAAAATAACATCATACAACAGAGCTTGTTCTGCAGGTATGCAGCTACGCCAGAAGGATCATCAGAAACCTATTTTCCTACTGCTGGAAACAGGCATTCTCAATAAAGCAGCCTAATTCTAGAAATAAGCTCTTAGCTGTGAATTCTGAACAGTCCTTAAGAAAGAATGAGACATCTGTGTAACCTGAGCACTGCATGAAGATATAAGCAGATAAGAGAACTTAAACTTCTGGGGCAGGGGAAGCTTTCAGTAATACCAAAGCAGCTAAGAGGCTCAGTGATACAATAAGAAAGTAAATGTTAAGGACAGAAAAATCTTGTATTTTTCACAGGGGAAAAAAAAAAAAATCTACTAATTTCTCAAAACAATAAAAACTCAGCCAAAGTAGTTAATTTTAAGAAAGAATAACTTCACTAAAGTCCATTCTGTGCTCTGCTCTAATACTGAGTTGAAGCAGACTTAAAAAGCAAGAAAGAAGCATACAGGGATTCTCCTTATTCATCTGATGCTAGTAAACTTCTCAAGCTCAAGTTTTCCTTTAAAGTATGGTTTTAATACACTTGGTTTCCAAAAAGTTTACTGAAATGCTTTTAAAACATTCTATTCTTGGCTACCATGGTGTTAAAAGGCAAGCTTTTTGTTTTACCAGAAATACTGGTAGTTTTATTGTCCGTTAATTTTAGTGGATATTCCACAGTTTTCCTATTATGAGGGGCAAAAAAAAAGAAAAACAAATTATTACCCCCATTTACCTCCATGTTATTCATGACTTTACAGGCTTCAGTAATATCCTGGTTTTAAATGCCAGCATAGTTCCCAGCACAACAGGCTAAGCATCTGCACTACCCTAACTAGGAAGCCAGAGTGCTACAGCAAAAAGCTAAGGCATTGAGATGACACAGTCCAAAATTATCCACAAGGATCTGAAGATATGATTCCTGGTAACAGTTAATTAAAACCTCATGCTTAATCAGGGTTGTTCCTTCCACAGTGCCAGCAATACATGAAGAGTGTCAGTATAAGAAATATAGTTTTGTTGCTCAGAACGCATCTTTTAACACTGAATTATTAACAGCTTTTGCAGGGGGTTTTAAATGGGACTACCTACACAGGTTTTATCAAGGGTAAGAAGTCCTGGCCATTTCATAGCACGTTTTCAGTCTACTTAACAACTTAATACAACATAATACACCTCAAACATCATCAGGGAATAGCCTTTGGAATTTTTCACCGTGTGGATGCTCAACTCTTATTCCTACTTCTTGTTCACTATCTTTTAATTTGATTTAGTGAAAAAAATCCCACTTTACTGAACAACCATCATACCCCATTTTATATAAAACCTAAGTATGTATATGGTTTTATTCAGAGCATGTAGTATTACTCACTTCATTTACACCCCTCTTAGTGAACAGTGATATGTGAAAGCTAACCAGCCAATTCAGTGAAGGCCAGAATGCCAGGTGCTGGGTAGGATGCGTAATCTCTACTCAGGGTGATGACTTTTGCATCTAAGTCAGGTGCACTTCTAACCTTGCATCAGAAATACAGCTCATCCCTTTGCCCAGAGAAACTTTGTTACTCTGACACTGGCCAAGCACACTCATTTAGGGAAGGTGACAGTACTAGTCCTCCCACCTTCTCATCACAACACTAGCTGATACAATGTGGGAAAAGAATCACCTACATAAATATCCGTTCGTTCCTAATTAATTAGGAAAGAAAAATCCTCACTGCATCTATGCTGATCTAGTCAAGTGATGAAGATAATCAAAAGCTTTACCAGACATTTTTGAATGCTAGCACATTTCCAAATTATTCAGCTTTACACAGATCAAAAAAAAGTCATCACCACAATGAGACTTCAATAACCTTTCCATTTAAAATACTTCTAATACTTCTTTATTTTTTAACTCATCATTTAAATTACTTTCTTTTAATAATAAAGTTTCATTTGTACACAAAGGTGATGGGCCAGGCATGATCACATAGAGTATCCTGAAGTAGCATAAGGTGAGGTGAGGCTGTGGGAAAGAGATAGTTATTAGTGAAGCACAGGTTCTTAGAACAGGGTGAAATTCAGCCTGTGTTTCACAGTAAGACTGAAGGATTCTGTCCCTGACACTGAGCGTCTCCCAAGTAGAGGAGAACCCTGTGGATGTTGAACCAGCTGCAGCCCATTAGAGCTATGCTGATCTAAAACTGAAAACCCTTGTTAGATCCACACTTTTCTACAAGATTTATTTCCCAGTCCTTTGGCATACATTCTGGTACCTTTGACAGGAAAAGAGGGGGAGGGAAAAAAAAAAAGGAGGGGGAAGAAGGAATAAAAACCATTTAGTTACAATCTTCATTAAAAGGTTGGATGTACAAACTAGCTATCAAATTATGACATTGACATGGCTCACAGTTGCCAGTGTCAATGATGTTAAGATATTTAGTCAGTGCCATAGCTTCTTTAGTATCATAAAAGCAATCTGTATATGTTACTATTGAAATTTAATGCCACCTTTTTTTTCCATTTTGTTTCTGATGAGTTTGTATAAATGGTACAGAAAGGTAAATTTCTCAACTTCAGACAGCTTTATTAATATTTCAGTTAGAAAGACTTACTATCATCCATCTGGAGACTTGGAGGACAATAAAACTTTTTATGAGTAATTAAATTTGGTAATCCTCTGAAGAGACTCCGGCACAATTTACACTCAAAAATGGTGTCCACATCTTTTAACAAGATATGTTTAAGTTGTTTCGTTCCTGTAATAAAAGAAATGTTACACTTAGGGAAGGTTTTCTGTTCATTTTTTAATTCACATCCCTATGAAAGTGGAAGCATCTTAAAACATTACAACTGCAATTTATCTTGTGTTAATGCTATTCCATTGCGCTCTAAGTTTATGATACATACTCCAAGTTTCACTATGAAAACAAGTCTAGTTTGAAGAAAAACAAAAATAACTGTTGTCAAGAATTATACACATTACGGTTTACAGGGAAAGTGTGATGATTCATATAAAAACTAACAGCTAACATTAGGAAGGAGTTCATACTACAATATCAGTTGCTGCAACAACTGCCCAACAGGAAAGAATAAGCACCTAGAGCATCTAAAAGAAGTCTGCAGCATCTGTTCTTTAAGCTTACCTAACAGTGCTAAGAAAACAAGATATATGCAGTTACTTCATGCAAAACCAGCATCTGCTAAGGTTAAAAAAAAAAAATAGTGTACAGTAAAACAAAGAGGATAACTAACAGGTCAAGAAATGCTATTATAGGTAGGTATCTAACCCTAGATCAAAATATGAGGCTTAGGCAAGAAAGTAGCACTGTACACATACTTTCAGCCTCCAAAAAGGAAAATAACATAATTTAAGTCAGATACTTTTTTATTAAAACATAGGCAGTGTGATAAAATACGTGGTTTTCCAGACTATTATACATTGTATAGTCAAAAAAAATCCCACAAAGATACAGCTTGATCTAGCATTGCTGATGTATTCCAGCTCCTGCCTTGCTTAAAGAACCAAAGGACTCAGAGTTTAAGTTACACTTCAAACCTAATCCTTCATTTCTCATCACAAAAATTATGAACATAATGCCTACGGTTAGCAATGGATTACCAAACAATGAATACTTACCCACTATAAATTAGAAAGAAATACTAAACAAATTTGTCTAATTTCTCTACCTTGATTTTTTTTCTTATAATGGAATAAATCAAAATTAGTCCAACAAGCTAAAACATCTGAAATTTGTACACAAAGGTGATGGGCCAGGCACGATCACAGACTATCCTAAAGCACCATAAGGTGAGCTGAGGCTGGGCGAAACTGGGCCAAGAATAAATGACATCATTGGCATCAAGACATTCTTCAAGCCAAAAATAGAAGTTCAAGTTTTCTGTCATCACAGACACTTAAGAATTCTTTTTAAAGAACAAAGTCAGAGTCACACTGCAGAATTATTTCCTAAACAAAACCCTTTTGAATATTAAGTTTCATAACAACTAATAGTTCTTCAGTACAAAAAGGTCTTTCCAAGACAACTTTTTATTTCTTGGTGTAGAAATATATGTAGTAGTACTACAAATTTTTTTACAACTGAGTTTTAAAAAAGAACAGTGTCTCCTCCTCCTTCAACAACTGCTTAAAATTGGGACCCAAACTACTATCTGAGGCTACCATCCAGTTTCTGTCCCCTCCTACACCTCTCCTGGGCCACAGCCCCAGCCTCTTCTTTGCTTCTCACTGCTCTTTCTTCAAGTGTTACTAACCTCTTCTACAGGTCATCTTCTTCTGACCTCTATTTTTTACAGGCTATTGTACAAATATTTGGATCTGATGAAAACCCCAAATTTAAAAATTGTAAAGAGTTCCCCCAAAAAGCAAGTTGTTTACTCATATCTCGTAAAATGATGTTTGAATTTCTGCACAAAGAAAACCCAACTGAACAAAAACTCACTGAACAACTCTGAAGATGCTCCATGTAGATAAAATTCCAGCACATTACTAAACTATCATTCAAAGACAAGGCCTCCAATTTGGTAATTGCACACAATAACCCAAAAATCTGGCCATGCTGTTGATGCATGCCCTAGCCACAAATCCCTCTCCCAAACATATAAGAGTAGTCCCTCATTCTCTCTCCTGTTATACTGATGTTTCAGCCCCTTTCCATTCAGGACTGATGCTTTTTTGTCTAATCCAAATTATTTGGCTTAAGAATTACTGGATGAGATTAAAAGATTTATGACATACTGGAGATCAGACTGGATGACACGGTCGTCACTCTGGCTGCAAACCATCCTTATGCAACTATGGCCTTTTCAGTGGTGGGAGTAAAAAATGTAATGGGTGCTTTTGAACTAAACAGTCGACCTTCAGGGACTTCTGGGAACAGCAAAGAGATTTAAAACATCCATTGATTTTGTGGACACATCAAGCAGGGAAAAAAATAACTATCTCCTTATTTTTACCAACTGCAGGTTGTGGCAACGAGCTGTCAGTATTCTGCCAGCACACGCTGCCTCCAGCTGACTGAAGCCTTCTCTATTTTGTACTTACATCTAAGTGGGTCAGGTGATACTTCATTAAATTCTGTTAATATTTGTGAATGTTGACACTAGGGTAAGATCAGTCACCAGAGACTGGTCCAGAACACTGGCTATTACAAATATTTCTCTGGCAGAAACACCAAAGTTTGTGTATTTAGCAAGCAATTTCATTTTTAGAAAAAAAAAAAAAAAAGAGATCCAAATTAGTCTGCTATTCTTAAAGCTCTGGGTGACAGCACTTTCTGCTGAAACCACCTTAAATAGTTATGGGCAACACTCTAGTTTGAATCTCTGGTTCTTTACCACAAGAATCAAAATAGGGTTTTTCCATAATGCTCAAAATGCTCCTTGCTCAAAACTAACCAGTAAAATTTTGGTCTAAGTCTTTTGCCTTCTATCCAGCTTCCCTGCTGCAGATGACTGAAGATGCCAAGGTTAACTACCAGCTTAGCACCTGCCAGCAAGAACAATTTGGAAGTAGCTGGGAGACACAGTACTTAAAACTGGTTTGTGCTATTACCAGTAGAGATTCCATTCATCTGCTTCAAGCAGAGTAAGCCTGTCACAGGTATCTTGGGCCTCAGGCAATAGTAAACTTTTTTTAGTTTTGTTGACAATGACTCTCACACCTAGATTTTTCTTCTTCTATTAAGGTGTTTGAATACTAGTGGACAACTTAAATATTGTGCCTCTTTAAAAAGCACAGCCCAGATATGCATCCCACAACATAGCAGCAATGATTTATAGGTAACACTTCTCATATGTAACACAGCTATACCTGGGAAAAGCTGGAGACAGACATAGTAGCACTAAAGATGCCGCTTCGATTTTTGTAATAACTGCTGTGTTCTTGTACCAAGGCTTCCAAAATCAAAATGTTTTGTTTGCCATAGCAGAAGCACTGAAACATCCAGAAAACACTAAAAGCTTCAATCATCTCTAGCATGCTCACCCAATTGCTCAGCTGTTATTTTTTAGGTTCATTGCTATGTGTTGGATCTCCCTAAAACAATTAAGGAACACCTTTAAAGTAACATGATAAAGTAATTCTAAAAATTCAAGGTAAACACTAAATTTTCTCTTCACCTCAGGGGTTTTAGGATAAACTAATTAATAGCAGCAGGAGGGACAACACAAAGCAGAACAAACAATTCACTTTTAATGTTTTTGAAAGATAACTGTACAGCAAGAGCTGTACCTTCACTACTTCATAGGAAAACCATTATTAGAAGGAACAGCACCTAATTCCAAAAACCTACAGTTTGCAGATATGTAGAAAGTCAGGTGTTGGTGATTTTAACATACCAAATCTACATAACTCTTACAACAAGTTAATGAGCTTCATAAGAGTCAGGCATAGTTACATACCTGATCTAAAACACTCAATGATCTGTTGAATACCAGATTTTGATGTTTGCATTGGCTGCTGTAATAACGGAGGATCACCAGGTTCCAACAGATGCACTGAAATACAGAAAAGGATAATAAGCCATTAGAGAACACTCAGATGACTTTTATTAAGTTTTGGATTTTCTCTGCATACAGTAAGCTAGCTAAAAAGAAAGGCCAGGCCTACAGTAAAAGTTGCCTTATTCAAAAATTTTCATCTGCACTGAATTAAAAACCAGTTAATACTGAATTTCCCAACCATGATACCTTCTGACAGTTTGCTGTCATTTTGATTATTTAAACAAATGTGTATTCAAAGCTATGTGTATCATACATAAAAACATAAAAATACATAAAAGCAAATTAACTCACTAGAAATTTCCATCAATTAAAGCAATTCCCCAGCACATTCTACTTGTTTTCCACCGTTCAAATGGAGATGTACAAAAAAAGCATTACCAAATACTGTAGTCCACAGCATACTGTGTGATTTCAGTGTTGCCAGCACACAGCTAAGCACTGAATCCACATTTAAAGCAGCAATTACCAGGAAAAAGCCCAAGCATAACTACATAGTATATACCAAAAATAGCTATTATCAGAATTTTTAATCAATAAACCCACACTCTAGAAGCGCTTCCGGTTCAAGCAAAGTGCTGAAGCAATAGCTTACTTCTGAAGTTTCTTTTCACATCACAGTCTTTCTAAAATCCACTGAAACTAAAACATTTCTTGATGAGGGTGATTACAGTTATTCCAACATGCAGTATTTATGCCTATGAAAATTAACAGCATTTCATTGCTGCTTATGCATACAGCAACTAAGCTTTGCCCAGAGGGAAAACCACATTTAAATGGGTAAGAGCATTTATTTAAGCATCTGTTTGCAAAACCATTAGTTAGGTCTTTTAAGTTCTTACTGACAAAAAAAAACTAGCTTTGTACCTCATTAATCAGCTCCTGTCTTATCCATTTGGTTTGATTTTTAACTAAACTACACTGTAAGGTTTCCATTTTGAAATGAGGCAGTGAGCACCTCTAAGAAATTTCTTTTTGGTAAAGGGCAGCAGAGGCACAGTATGTCACCATTCAGAGATACTACGTGCAAACACAGTACACGCATTTTGACGGGAAAGTTGTTCTAAAAGATGTAAGGCAATAAATAAATTCACGCTGAAAAGAATATCAGAAGAAAAGCAGTCTAAGAAAAGAGTGATAGAGTGAACACTCCACTCAACTATGCTGGCCCCATGATATACTATTATACACAGGAACACTTAACAACCATTACAAATCAGCTAATCGTTTGGGGATCTCTAACACAATGCCATATTGTATTCTACTAGCCTATTCCCTATTCTTCAAAATCGTATATTTGGGGTTGTATACTGCCTCTAATATGCATGTGCAATGCCCAATGACATCAAGGGGAGTGACATACACGAAGCAGACATAACACTTTGCTGTTACTTGTAAGGCAAGGAAAGTATTTTAGCTTTCTTAAAGCATCGGAATGACTCAAAAGCATTTCAACTTAAACACAAGGAAATGTTTCTGCTAGCTGAACAATACCTACTCTCAAATTGCACTTAATTAAAGGAGCATTATCGAAGTTGCCATGCTCACGCTTTCAACTATCAATTCCTCAAGCTGATGCTTTTCTTTTCAAAACACAAGTAAAAGCATTCAAATAACAAACTCTACAACAAAGGAACAAGAAAGAAACCAAATTTCCTTTGAGGCTACCAACTATAACAGTAGGCAAAACAATCACAAATAAAGCCTAACAAGTTGGCTGAACCTTCAAAGTATTCATTGTACTTTCTACTGATGGCATCTTCAATGTCACACAGTAGTGAAAAGCACACAGACATTCCCGGACCAGGGTCTTTTTTTCTTCCTCTGAGGTGAAGACCTTAAATTTCATCAAAGCTCATCAGAGAAGATGTAAAGTAAAAAAATAAAGCAAATGCAAGAGATTGACAGAAACGTCAGTTTACCAAAAAAAAAAAAATCAGACTATTATACTTCCTGGAAACAACAAGGCCAGTTGTTTTACACATTTTCGTGCCTTCCCCTGCTCACTGCATACAATGCCCACCCGATCACAGAGTCACAGAATGTTAGGGGTTGGAAGAGATCATCAAGTCCAACCCCCCCCCCCGCCCAGGATTCCCCCCCCCCCCCCCCCGCCATGGTGACTTTGGGATTATTGCATGTTCTGCAGGAACTGAGAAAATACCTTCCTGAACAGTTCAAGAATACAAAAAAGTTTCCAAACAAAATTCAGAAACTTTTTATAATCACAACTGTCACTAATGACGTACATTCACAACATGACAACAGTTTCTGCAAGCTTTTAACGAAGGAGATGAGTAAAATAAGCATCACACAGCACTATACCTGGTTCACAGCATCCATGGTGATGGTGGTCAGTCTGGCAACACTTATCACTTAGAGGCATTTTCCGTGCGCACGATCTACTTTCCTTCTACATCCAGCAGCTCGTTTCTGCCAAAATGAGCAAATAACTGTCACGCCCGAAGGCGAAGCGGCTGAGAAGGACGCTGGCCTCACACCCGCTGCCTACGCCGGGACCGCCGGAGCAGGCCAGGAGGCAGCGGCACCCCTCGCGCACAAGTTTCCATTGTTTACGGCAGGTCTCACAACGCCCTCTGCAACAG